GCAAGGAGCGAGACGCCTCCAGCCTGTCCTAATTCAGACCTATTTCGCTGTTAAACATTGAGGGCAAGATATTCTTCTCGGTAATGACTCGCAAGCTGACACAGTATTTGATGGGGAACAAATACACCGATACGACTGTTCAGTAATGTGGAATACCGAGCGTCCCTGTGTGCCTTGAACAAGCGACCAACATCGGGAGTCTATTCAGAGAACTGAGCCAGAGAGAACCCAATTGCAGATGAAACTAAAAGTGACAAGTGCTTGAAACTGAACGAGTGAAGAATGCGCATACCACCCAACTAACTCACAGAGAACATATGCGTATGGATTTACACAAATTCTCCAAATGTGCCAACGACTACTTTGGTGACCATCGTTTGCTAACCCCCTACTATCACCAGACTTTTATCAAGTCTGTGTTCTTGTCCATGTAATGCCAGGTGTCCAAGCCTTTCCACAAATAGTTTGAACCTATGTTGTTTAAGCAAGATCTTTAACCACTATATACCTCACGGGAATAAAAAATAATAGTACACACTCTCCATTTGTGGGTACATTATTGACCGGCGATTACACTGACGTGTATACATCATGGATAGGCGATTCCACATATATGTGTACATCATGGACAGTCGATTCCACTTACGTGTGTACAACATGGACAGTCGATTCCACTTACGTGTGTACATCATGGACAGTCGATTCCACTTACGTGTTTACAACATGGACAGGGGATTCCACTTACGTGTGTAGATCAAGGACAGCTGATTCTACGTAATGTAAATACTAATACTGTTTTTTTAACCTCTTTTTTTAGGTTATCGTCCGTAAAAGAGCAGATAGCAAGTTGTGTTGTGGTCTAAAGCTAGTCTGCAGTATCTACACCTTTAGACCCAACGCAGTCGAATTCGGTAGACATGAATGGTGGCTTTTTAACGTCACTCTTGTTAAGGACCACTGAGCCTATTTTCCCCTCTCCATAAATTGGACCCAGGAAACCATATAGTGAAAACATAATTTGGTTAAACTAGCTTTATTTATAACAGTCAGTCTAAGTGCTGTATAAAATTAGCAGTGTACAAGATGTATAAAATACAATGAGTATCAATATTTTCTATTATGTAACTGAATTGTGCTCCTAAAAACGCACCATCATCAACATGAACAAACGGTAAAATGTATAAATAAAACAAAAAATACAAAGTTGCAAACATCAACACTTAAACAAAGAGGAAATTAACACTAAATAAGCATGTTTCTGATGGTACAACAAATCACTATACTCACGTCGGAGTTATAGATCCTGACTGAAGAGGTCAAGAGGTCCTGAAGATGTCAATGGTGGTGAACTTTCTGGTTGAAACATCTGCTTATATACACTTGTACAATCCAACAAACTGACTATTAGCTCCGCAAGCAATCTTCGGATTCTGTCAGGTAATCTGTTTAATCCTAGATGATTAAACAGCAGGAAGGAAGGAACATCAATACTAATTACCATGTGACAAGCGGCTGTCAAATGTAGGACACGAAGTCGTGGGATCTTTGGACTTTTAGTGTATCCTCGAATTTTAAATTAGAAAATATTAATGAGTGTAGTTGAACCCCAATAGCACCGCACACTGAGCGATCAACAGCCAGTGACGGAAAGTGTCCCTGTGAGGATGCGAATCCTCCAGGTTCAAATTTCAGAGATCCCCTTCAACCGCAAGGTGCGGGTGTCCCCGACCGTTACAAAGTAACTTAAAGTCCAGACAAAGTAGCTTCCCCTCCACCACCACCCGCCGCCCCCTTTCCTCCCGCCCCAATTTGTCTCACAAGTTCACACTAGAAATGCAGGCAGGCGAGCTGACACAGAATACACAGGGCTCATGCCCTATACGCCTAAATGCGTGGAAAAGGGTCCTTTACTTTAAGTAAACTACGACAAGTGAAACTAATAAGCGGAAGATCGTAACAAAAGAGATAAAAAGTCTTCGTAACAACAGAGATGAGATGTCTTCATAACAACAGAGATCAGATGTCTTCGTAACAACAGAGATACGATGTCTTCGTAACAACAGAGATACGTTGTCTTCGTAACAACAGAGATGGGATGTCTTCGTAACAACAGAGATACGTTATCTAGTAACAACAGAGAGGAGATGTCTTCGTAACAACAGAGATGAGATGTCTTCGTAACAACAGAGATGAGAAGTCTTTGTAACAACAGAGATGAGATGTCTTCGTAACAACAGAGATGGGATGTCTTCGTAACAACAGTGATTAGATGTCTTCGTAGCAACAGAGATTTGATGTCTTCGTTACAACAGAGCTTAGATGTCTTCGTAACAACAGAGATGGGATGTCTTAGGAGAGCTGCCGGTGTGACAAGACCAGATAAAATCAGGAATAAGGAAATTAGAAAAAGACTAGGATCGACACCCGTAATACAGATCATTTAAGAACAACAAGTGAGATGCTTTGTCCGCCGGACGAGAATCCCCTGGTACCAACTGCCAAAGAAAGCTACGCTGAATAAAAATACTGAACACATAGCAAGGGAAAGACCACGCAAGCTATAGAGCGATATCATCAGGAGCAACTTAACAGAAATGAACACCAACTTGTACAATGCATTGCAAACGATCCTTACATATTCCCCAACACCTCGCTGAGGTGAATGGTCGAAGAAAAGAAGATGCTAACTGAATTAAAAAGTACAGAAAAGTTCATACTAGAGACAACATTGAAAAAAAAATACATAATATATTTAGGGCGATCGGAAGAAGAAGATTAAACTAACCCTGACCTCTATACTATAGGACCTTCCGGAAAGCTCCCTAAGAATTACTTAAAAAATCTCGCAGCCGACGACATGGAGTGAAACAGCTTAAAAAAAAAGTACAAAAATAATAGTACCTAGAATCGAGCAACTAGGGCTTTCATTTCAATTAAAACAAACATAAATTATGACCTTGTTACTACCCGACGGGCACTGCTACGATGTTGATTGATGATTGACACCTTCCCGTCTTATCAGACGATAATGTTTTATTGCGCATTTAGGAGGCATGGAACTCACAGCCCATGGCGATAGCGAATGTGACTAGCAAGACCCGCCCGCGTTAAGACAAGTTTTCCTCAATTATAGCGTGGTATTTCAGGACCGTTGTTGTTAACCTTTGCGTTTGCCAGCTCCACACAACACAGCCCATGGCAGTTTGTTCCCACGAGTCAAACTCAGTATCTGCTTTCACACATTTTTATATCATTGTAGAGGTCGGCCTCGACATTTTCTTCCCATTTTTAATTCATCCTTCATTCTCCAGGTGTGACCCAGTCACCTGAGCCTGCGTAGACTGAGTATTGAGAAATCTGTGGTAGTACCTGCTCTCTCCAATATCTCAGTGTTTGTAATCTTGTCCACTTAATGCCAAGTATTCTTGTTAGGCATCGCATGTGCAAGCTTTTTGGCCGTTTCTCCTGGCGTGAAAAAGTTGATCAAGTTTCGCTGTCATAATACAGAGAGCTGAGAATACAAGCCGAGGTATGTAAAATCCTTTGCCTGCTTTAACTGGTGTTTATCAATTTTGATATTTGTGGTTCTTCCTTTTCTGGAGAATGTCATGACTACTGTGTTCTGAAGTTGATTAACTCTTGAGTCCCAAGGGGGTTTAGCATCAGAGGCCCATGTGGTAGATGTGAGAGATGTAAATCGGAGCATCTTACCTTTATTGGGCCTCTAGGCAGAAACCTATGATCGTATGATGCGATCCTTAGGACTCAAAGAGTTAATGGGCAGAGAGCACACGACCAATTGTCCAGGATCTGATTCACACTCCAACTATTGCAGCCAATTGCACAAAACTGTATGGAAAACTTAACGACATGTTGCCGCCATATCTGCACATTTATTGTAATAATTTCAAGCGGGTATAGACAAACAAGTACATATAACAACGCAAGTGAAGTAACCATACCGAGCACTGGATTATTATGGAGTAAATGTCTCTCACTTCGCTTGCTGAAGCTGACACATGGCCAATGAAATCCATACAAAATCGATTCAACAACCAATGATCCGGAGCGCAGCAGAAGGCCAGCCAGTTACGAAAGCAGACAATCGAGTGGAAAGTCAGAACCAAGATCAAGCGACAAACACTGAAAGCACAATCCAAAACAAGATGAGACGAAGACCAGAAACGTCACCACAAATATAGCGGACAGGAAAGAGCAGCAATGCAATATGACCTAGCTTAAAGTGGCCAACGTTAATAAATAGATTGATAGCTAACCGCTACAGTGTCTAAGTCCCCAGCTCCCATAACTTCAGGGCTCGCTGTAGGGATGAACAGGTTATATCTCCTACTCAGCTTGACCTCCGTTGCTCATTACGCAGCAGAAACTGTCACATCGGCTGAATAAAAAAACTTCCGATTCTTGATCTTCAGTATGTGGACAATGCGCATCAGCAGGGTCGAAGAAACCCCGATGATCGGCAGGACTCCAAACCTGAGTCCCCTTCAGCACACAGCTATCGCCGTCATCCCTGCTGTCTTGTTTCACTAGTGGTCACGACCGCCTCACTTGCATGGTCGTCACCCAAGACAGCTGGTTCCTGAAGAAGTCCAGCTCTCTAGGCCTAGCTCTGCCAACTGGACTTGTCTTCCTTTGACTTCACTGTCGACTGTACTCTAGACCAGTCTCTCGCGAGTGCTTTCGCCTCGAACGTTCTCAGCTCGTCGGTTCTCTCGACAAATTCTAGAAAATCTCTCTCTCTCTCCCTCTCTCTCTCAACTGAACTCAATCATACTATATACACACACCTGTCTCTTGTGAGTCTTCGTGCACACGAGACACCAATTGTTATGCTTGATTCCCCTTTACTGAGAACCCCATACTTTTCCGTGCCATAGCTGCTATCCACGTACTAAGTATGATAAGTATTCCCCACTGGGCTGATAACTTCGCGAATCCACTAGTCCATCCAGTCCTAAGTCAATAATATTGACTCAAGCCGACTGATATCTCCTGCACCAACTGTTGACCCAGATCATAGACATTCCCGTGGACTCCCGAAAACACAGTTCACACGATATTGTACTCAACAATGTTACAACCCTTCCGAATCCACACGAATCAGCCTGCAAAAATGACTTATGTTTTGTCTTCGTTGATCTTCATACCGTAGTTGTCGCATCCTGAATATGTGTTTGTAGTTCAACTTCTTTATGTACTATGATTGCCTGGTCATCAGCGAAAAGCAACTCATTTAGTAATTCTCCAATGACGTCGCCTTCGCTGGTATTAGCTGTTTGCAAACGTATGTGATGAATACCTTAGACAGCGAAACAGAGCAGCCAAGAGGTTTTGAAAGGGGTTGGAGCCCGAAGACAACTTATCACAGACATTAGAAGGAGACAGTCATCATTTTTCGGCCATGTTATGAGAAGAGGGAAAATAAAACATGTTGTGACCACTGGAAATATCTGTGGAAGGAGGGATAGAGGAAGACAATGAGAGAAGATGCTTGACAGTCTTGTTGCATGGCATGGAGGTGTGTCGGCACACGAACTGATACATGCTGCAGGAGATCGCAGATTATGGAGAGGCATGATCGCCCACGCCAGTCGGCAAGGCATCTGATGATGATGATGATGATGATGTGATGAATAGTTGGGAGGATAGAACGCCCCCCTTCTCTCTCTCTCTCTTTCTCTCTTTCTCTCTCTCTTTCTCTCTCTCTCTCTCTCTCTCTTTCTCTCTCTCTCTCTTTCTCTTTCTCTCTCTCTCTTTCTCTCTCTCTTTCTCTTTCTCTCTCTCTCTCTCTTTCTCTCTCTCTCTCTTTCTCTTTCTCTCTCTTTCTCTTTCTCTCTCTCTCTCTCTCTCTCTCTCTCTCTCTCTCTCTCTCTTTCTCTCACTCTTTCTCTCTCTCTCTCTTTCTTTCTCTCTCGCTCTCTCTTTCTCACTCTAGATCTAATGTAGAACTTCTCTGGCATTCCTATATTTGTTCTAACTGTTCATTGACTATTCACCTATAAACTCTTGCACAATTTTAAAAGGTGTTGCCCGGCTCGCTAGCGTAGTTGGCTAAGCATGACTTCGCGGCGACCGGGTGACGAACTCCTTGTTGTCCGGGTTCACGCCCGGGAGTAGGCAGAAAAGCCACATTTCTCCCAAATTTACAGTATTTGTCATGGAATTAAGGCCGACAGTTTGCGATATCCATAGTACCGAGCCATTCCTATTAATTCGATTGAAGCATTCCTAACTTCTACAACTGTTGGAGATTTGTCCAGATAGTCAAAAGTTGGTAGCGTCGTTCTTGTATCAAGAGCACCATGTGTTAGTTTAGCCTCAAATGAATACAGCTCCAGATAATGTTCCACCCATCTAACTAGCTGCTTCTTCTTGTCGGCAATAATATCCCCATTCAAACTCTTTTTGGTGCACTTTAAAAAAAAATTAGTTAGACCGAAGACATTCTTTATCCCCGTATACTTGTTTCTAAGATTACCACTACTGCTAGCAGTTTGGATGTTTTCGCATAAATGGATCTAGTAGTCGTTGGCGCACGTCTTGCTACCTTTTGCACATTTTCTTCTAGCTTCTTTTAGCTCCCTAAGAGTGTTTCTTGTTGTTCTTTTCTTGTGTTAAAGGAGTATTAAATTTTTGCTCTCCTGGGGTGCCCTCTGCTGTTAGCAGGAGCATCACAGAGCAGGGCACTCACTTGTCCTAGCAGTCGAAAATGTTTCTAAGGCTGACGACATTGTCTAAAGCCATGTGGATGTGGAAAGCAACGGGAAACTACCACATTACTATCCCAAGAAACTCATCATAGAAGCCATTCTCAAAAGATCTGAACATCAAGGAAGATTGGCTAATAAACAGCATCCTTTCTCGAAAGCTGTAATTGTTGCGCACGTAAAAGATTTCTTGACAGTTCGAAATCAAAAAGAGTAGCCTTACAGCACTGCCAGGGAAAAATTTGGAGTTAAAAATCTTCACAAAGTATTTCAGGATCCTCTCCAGTGCTACAGAGCCTGTACACTGTTCTGAGCTTTTTCTGATTTAGACTTGAGTTAGAAGAAGAACGGAGCACTTTTGGGTTACTACATGTGTGATATGATGTTGATTCGTTGTTGGAACTTCAAACGTCAAACTTCTGCCTTCATTAAAATTACCCATTTCATGATGACATAAATAAATAAAATAAACAACATGGTAGTGTTCAACAAACATGTTTATTTGTTGACAACTAGTAAGAACGTATAGGATGTCCTGAAGTCGGATTGGCAGGCAGCTCTAGTACCCTGTGGATAGAGCATATGTGTTTTATGGTTAGTGGTATCTAGCGACTGTTTGCTCAAAAATACACGTTTATGGGCAAGTCATATAGCAACATATAGACTACACAACCCTCACATACACACACACACATTTATATGTATACACACCACATATTTATATATATATACACATTATTTGATCATTGAGGACTAAGCTGTGGGAACTATGTCACCCTTAACGGCCCAACATAATTTTTTTTACATATATGTATATGCATACACATACATGCGCAACCAGTACTGAGCTACCAAAACTAACAAATATGTGTTAAGCAGACCTTTCAGCGAAGAGACTGAGTCTTCAGAATAAAACTCGGTGCAATAAAGTAAAATCTCTTAATTTAAAATATTTAAATCCTCTAATCTCATAACAACTGATGCCAAAAATCCAGTGCCTCTTGCTATAGAAACACACAGACAAGCATTCAAGCACCTGCAAACATATGTATGTGTATGAAGTAAGGGAAAATGTGTCTATCTTTAGATGAGATGGTCAAGTAATAGCAGTTCCAGTATCCCATGAAGCTGGTCACCGCATAGTTTCTCCGCTTGTCTAACAATTCCCCACTAGGGAGTGAACTGATACACTACGGGTCAGATATGGTCAAGGCGGTTTGGGAACAAGTACCGAAGTCAGAAAAGAAATTGGATTATTATAGCCTGGTGAGAATGAGGCACCTGGGTGTAACCAGAGGGTCCGGTCGGCTCACTACACTCAGAGATAAGGCAAGACGGACATATAACCAGAGTGTGACCGGTACTATCAGTATTCGAGCTCTGCGCTGGCTGCTGATGATAAGGATGGGGCGCGCATGGGAATGCCTCGAGTGTTGTGACGTCAGTCCCTGACTCGACTCAACTCCTCTACCAAAGAAACCTACACAGATTGCTACTCACTATCGCTTGCGAATATTTGTCACAGACTATATTTGCATGCACAAGTATTAAATCCATATGGCAACAGTCGTAAGTGCCGGCACAAACCGCATGCCATTATAAATGTAGTTCATCATAGATAGAATCAGCAGTTACAACAAATCAGTAGCTAGACATGCAAATAATTGCATAAGGCGATACCAGTTCTGTGGCAAACAGGCCGCTTGCCATTTTCTCTATCTGCTGTTCAGAACACTGATCAGGTTGGCCACAATCGACATGCATTCATACTGGTAGCCAGAGCTGCTAGTGTCGCAGTTTCTGGGTGTACACAACTACAGTGCCGAACCATTGTCAGAAACAAAAACTGTCCACGTCTAAAACAGAAACACTGTCTATTCGCCATATTTGACATGAAGTCCAATCGTATCTTGAAAGCTATAGGTTGGTGGACTGTCTTCACGGCACTCCGGACACCCTATCGTCACCATCATCATCACGTGCCCTGTCGACTGGCGTAGGCGTTCATACATCTAAACAGATTTCGGTATCTTGTCCCTATGGATCAGTTCCATCGTCGAGATCCCTCCGTGACACCATTCCAGTTCATCAGTCGGTATCTCTCACAGTCCCTATCTCCCTCTTCTGCTGTTTATCTTCCTTGTCGCCACAATATTCTAAAAAATCCTCTACCCTCATTACATTACTAAAGTACAGTTCTTGTCCTTTCCTTATAGCCCTATAAGTGTTCAGATTCTCCCCTTCCTAAGCAAATAGATCAGCATGTATCAGAGTTCATCACTGAAGATAGTCCATTCCTCGACTTTGGTCTTGCTCCAGAATTTGAGCTGCGCATGCCCATCTGGAACATCCGTATTCTGGCTGTTCGCTTCTTAGGCAGATATGCTCCGACTCCTAATTATCTTTGTACGACCCGGTTGTGAGGGAGGCAGTGGGTATATATCTCCCCCCCCCCTCCCTCGCAGGCTTTCAGAATGTAAGCCGGAACGTACAGGTCGTCAAAAATTGGCTTTCAAACCATTTAATCATAATATATACCCCCGTACCCACGAGGGAAGTTTCGGGTTTGAATGTCACTTTAAATGCAATATGGTAAATAGGACAACCGTCATTCTCATAGAAGAGAAAACTCTATAATTGGATTTTTTTTTTTTTTTTGCGTGGGGAAAAGGGAGGGGGGGGGGGGGAGGTACTTAGGATTCTGAGTCATTTTGAATAAATTATAAACTTGCTGACCCCCCCCCCCCCCCCCCTTCCCTCCCGCCTCCACTCCCCATCAAGAATTTATGTATGGTCGTTTGGAGAAAAACACATACAAGGATTTAAGACTTACCATATCCACCGCCGTAGCCGCCACCGTACCCTCCTTTCACGGGAACAGCCACAGGGACTGGTACAGAGACAGGGACAGGGAGAACTACAGTTTTGCCTTTCCCATAACCACCTCCATATCCAAAGCCACCTCCAAAGCCACCTCCATAACCACCTCCATATCCGCCGAGACCTCCTCCATACCCACCGAGGGCTAATCCATACCCGCCGAAACTTCCTCCATACCCACCGAGACCTCCTCCATATCCACCTAGAGCTAATCCATACCCTCCGAAGCCTCCTCCATATCCACCGTAGCCTCCGTATCCATTCAACACTCCTCCATATCCTCCTTTTCCAATACCAAGACCTAGAGCTCCATAGCCTCCTCCAAATGCTCCAAGCCCGGAACCTTGAACTTGGGCTGCCATGACAGCAACGGCAATGAAAGCCACTACAAGGATGGTCTTGTACATGATCTGTGGGTAAAGACAGGACAAAAATATGTTACTAGAGTCCAACATTTACTTACTTACTTACTTAGTCGCTCCTCTTCTACTTTGGGGTGTAGAGGTTTGCCTGGGAGAGATCGCCATACGTCCCTACCCGCAGTTTTCTTTCTGGCTTTGTTCCATTCCAGTCCTCTGTCAGTTAGGGACTATCGGATGTTGTCTTCCCAGCGCACCTTAGGCCACACAGGAGGTCTGATTCCCTGGTTCTTAGCCTCCCATGCCTGCCACGGCGGCCGATTTTCTCCCATTCTGTATAAATGTCCAAACCATCGTAGCTGTGACTGATCCATTCGGGTTTGTAAGGACATGAGTATAAAGTTCTTGACGTATTGTCTGATTGCTGACTTTGTCCCTTTTTATCACTTGGACCACCTTTTTCAGACAGCTCATGTCTGATCCCTAAAGCTGGCTTCCGTGAGCTGTTGTCGTACCCACGACTCACACCCATTGGTCAGGACTGGTACATAGGTGACATTTCTTGAAACAAATTAGTTCTCAAATAGCTGCAGATTCTAGGGCCCATTTGGGGGAGGGGAGCGGTGGTGTAGGGAATAGACCAACTGTCTCACTAAGATGCATGAAGTATAATTCGGGAACAGTCTGCATGCTATTAAACCAGGTCTGTAAAACAAACGTATAAGCGAACTCAACTTCAGCAACAAGACTAAAAATTCAAAGCAGAAGGAACCAGCAGAACATTCCTCCGCATTAAACAGCTGGTGAACGTCAAGAAGGTAAAGGAACCAACCAGAATTTGGAGAAGAGCAGTGTGGTTTTGTTGCAGGTAAAGGCACAAACTAGAAATTGGAGAAGAGCAGTGTGGTTTTGTTGCAGGTAAAGGCACAAACCTGAAATTGGAGAAGAGCAGTGTGGTTTTGTTGCATGTAAATGCAGAAACTAGAAATTGGAGAAGAGCAGTGTGGTTTTGTTGCAGGTAAAGGCACAAACCAGAATTTGGAGAAGAGCAGTGTGGTTTTGTTGCATGTAAAGGCACAAACTAGAAATTGGAGAAGAGCAGTGTGGTTTTGTTGCAGGTAAAGGCACAAACTAGAATTTGGAGAAGAGCAGTGTGGTTTTGTTGCAGGTAAAGGCAGAAACCAGAACTCGGAGAAGAGAAGTTTGGTTTTGTGACAGGTAAGGGCACAAACAACGCCATATTTATCTCGAGAATACCTTCAGAAAGAATGATTGACTTAAACGGAGATCTGTGTTTGTTTTTTATTGATTACATTAAAGCATTTGATAAAGTGAAATGTGAAGAAATTAGAATTTAGGAAACTTTAAGCATTGATATTAAAGATCAGAGAATAAATAAAAACAAACATGTACTGGCATCAAGAAGCAGCCACAAGGATTGACAACAAAGTTGCTACTTTCCAAAACATTAAACAAGGCGTTAGACAGGGATGTGTATTGTCACCCGATTTTAAAAATTAATAATTAGATCTATAGATGGTATGCCACGAATATCGGTTGTTGGGCATATTGTTAACAACTTACGATATGCTGACGATATAGTTTTGATCGCTGAAATTGAAACATAACTGCAAGAAATGAAAGATATTATCGTGACGGAAAATGAAAACAATGGTCTTAGTTTGAACAGCAGAAAAACATAAGTAATGATAATAACAAAGAAAACGGGCCCTTCAAAATTCAACATCAAAATAAATGGGACAAACCTCAAGCAAGTTGATATGTTTAAGTACTTGGGTACCCTGATAACTTCAAATGAAAGATGTATTAAAGAAGTTAAATGTGGAATAGCTCAAGCAAAGGCAGCATTTAGAAAATGATGAATATTGTTGCAATCTATCTTTTGTCAATTGACACGAGAAGGAGAATTCTTCAAATCTATATAAATCCTATTGATATACGGAAGTGAATAATGGTCAGTTAGTAAATTAGTGAAACATTATTGGGAAGCTGTGGAGATCTGTTTATAAGGATGAATGATGAGAATACCCTGGACAGATAAATAAGAGCAATGAAGATGTCTTGAAAGAAACTAACTCACAAAGAGAATTGATTGCCCACATCAGAAAGAGGCAATCTACATTCTTTGGTCATGTGTGAGAAGGGGGGAAACTGGAGTACATCGTGACAGTAGAAAAGTTGGAGGGGGGAGAGGCAGGGGAAGACCAAGAGAAAAAATGCTGGACACAGCATGGACTTTAAGAAGAAGAAGAACGTTTAGACGAAGCAAGGCAGCTGCAATTTATCGCATGATGCCTCCTAGGGTATCAGTCATCCCGTTCCATTTATTTCACTCCCTTCTTGGTACTGTTGTGGTTACTTTTGCTGTTGTTGTTCCTCCTCTCTTCTTCTTCTTATTCTTTTCTTCTTCTTCTTCTTTTTCTTCTTCTTCTTCTTCTTCTTCTTCTTCTTCTTCTTCTTCTTCTTCTTCTTCTTCTTCTTCTTCTTCTTCTTCTTCTTCTTCTTCTTCTTCATCTTCCTTTATAACCATAATTAGGCATATATCACCAGCTAACTCACGCATAGAACACGGAGACAATTTCACACGTTTGTGAAATGTGTGAGCTACACCGCTGGTGGTCATCATTTGTCATCATATTTGATCGGCAGTCCTTTATGAGGTCTGTTTTCTCGTGCCATTAATACCAGGTACTCATTCCGTCCTACTGTTGACTTAAACTCATGAGCTCATCTTTGTAAGTCAAGTGCTTCAAAATTATACCATATAGGAAAACCAATGTGACACAAAATTTGTGTAATATATAATGCCACATTGTAATTAAAATGTAAATGTTGTTTCTCGTTCTTGGTTGGTTGATAGTTGTACCCTACAAGGACATCACACAAGTGTTAAACACCCGGTGATACAAAGTGCCACCATGCGGATGATTATCACCCGTGAGGAGGTACCAGAAACCAATTTGAGCCGTTACTCCATATCTATGGCCCGACTATATTCAGGGCCCCCGGCTATATTCAGGGTCCCCGGCTATATTCAGGGCCCCCGGCTATATTCAGGGCCCCCGGCTATATTCAGGGCCCCAGGTCAAAGCCAGAGTGGGGCTTCAAAGAAAAAAATTGCATACCACATGGGGAAGACAAAGTTAATTCACCGTCTTCTTCAGTGACTGATGATAAAAGAGCGGTTTCTAGGCTGTTCTGTGGGTTACAAGATTTCCGCCCAATAATGCTGTTTCAGAAGACCCTTAAATAGTTGTCTTTTACGACATGCTTGTTTCGCAGAAGTAAGTCTATCCTCTCCACCTCCCTACGTTTATGCCAACATCCCCCCACCCCCTTTCCCGCCCATAAATAAATAGATAAAAGGGCCACAGAAACAAAACAGCGACATAAATTTGTTTAACTTGTATATTAGAACAGTATGCCTAAAAATTCTAACTGTAAAACAAATCACTATACTCACGTCAGAGTTACGGTTCCTGACTGGAGAGGTCAAGAGGTCTCGAAGGTGGTAATGTTTGTGAACTTTCTGTTTGAAACATCTGCTTAAATACACATGCCCACTCAAACAGTCTGACCGTTAATGCCCCAACAAATCTTGGGATTCGTTCAACATAATCTGTGTAATCCTTGGTGATCGAAAAGCAGGAAGAAATGAACATCACTACTGATTAAGATGTGTCAACCGGCTGTCAAATGTAAGAAACTTAAGATCCGTGGACTTTGATTGAAAACTTGCGATTTAAATTAGATAACCCAAGTCGCACATGTTCACACTGTAATTGCAAGCAGACGAGCCGACACAAAACTATTTTTCAATCCCTCCCCTCCCCTTTTGTGCGGGGCCAGAGATATTGTGTTAACAAAAAGAGGGGAAAAGGTGGGGGGGGGGGGGGGGTCGGGGTTTAAGAAATCTAATAACAGTATTTAAAAACTAATTGTAATAATTATAATAATGTGCTAAATATGAAATAAATATTATATATATATATATATATATATATATATATATATATATGTATATATATATATATGAAATGCACAAGGTGTTTGTAAAGTCACACAGCACTTTGTATGTAAAACAAATTTTAAAATCTCAAGTGCAAGTCGTTACAATTTGCTTAAAAATCATTAAATTAATTGCAACAGTCACTGTTATGGTCTAACGCTGTTTTGATGACGCTGGAAAGTAACAATAAAATTTCCAATGTAACTTTTTGAACACATTTCCAACCGTAATGCCTTGAGGAGTTTGTTTACCAGGAAATCATGCTTTAAATCATTAAACAACATCCATGTGTATCAGAGCTACTATTTCAAAACACTCATTGAACCCTCAAAGAAAAAAAAACTTTTATTGTTGATAACAAAAATCTGTTTTGAGAGCGAAGAATTACTCCAGCAGACGACTGCCATTCACTGCATTCACTTCACGATTCACTGCGGATCATCTTTTTTTAATTTTGCCTTTTATTTCATTTCGCAGATTTGTTCTAGATACAAATTGTAAAGAGTTTTTTCCAGCCTCTGTATAAAAAAAAAAAATGCTTACACGGATAAGTTCTCCATATAGTTAAAGGGGACTGTTTAAATCGTGGCAGAGAATCGTAACCTTGAACATGACAGACAGGGCAATGAAAGCCACTAGAAGGACGGTCTTGTACATGATCTGCAGGCGGAGACAAAAAATAAATCTGTCAATGAAGCTCGGCATTTGTTACAACCGTTGAGGAATCACACGAAAACAGCACATTAAAAAGTTACGTTGTATAAAAAATATTTTTAAAAACGCTTTTTATAATATTAGCGTTTTATTACTTACCTTGTATACAATTACTAAGTGCACTAAAAAATATAAAATAAAAATATTTTATACTATTTTATGTAGAACTAATTTAAAATACGGTATGTTCAACATAACATGTTACCACTGGTGTGTTTTATCTAATTTATATTGTAGGTATATCTTATCATATAATTTATTGGATAAGCGGCCTTGCTCTTTAGCGTAGTTGGCTAAACCGGAC